AAAATAAAGGTAAATAAAATAAAATAAAAGTATGTTGTCCATCTACAGCTACAAATTTTTTTTTAAAAAAGCGGGGGCAGAGAGAGACCCACTGTGGTTTCCACAGGCCAGGCTGATGCTGCTTGGAGCCTGGGAGTCAGGCTGCCCAGCCGAGCCCTGGTGGTGTCTGGTTTCACAGAATGACAACTGGAAAGATGTTTACTTCAAGATGAATTGTACCATGTGTCTGTCTGACCATATCTAATTTAAATAACATTTAGAGGAGAATATGGACATAAAACATTAAAAATGATGCAGGTTTCAGTCAAGATTTGGGAGGTATTGAATAGATGAATGTATTCTGCATACAACAAGGACCTGAGGGAGTCCCCAGTGTTTGTACAACCCCCCGCCTGAGCCCACGAAAATTTACTTGTTGAAGTTCTAATCCCAGTGTAACTGTGTTTGGAGACAGAGTATTTAAGAGATAATTGAGACTAAATATGGTCAAAAGAGTGGAGAGGAGGGAAGGAAAGAAATAAAAGGAAGGGAAGGGTGAGGTGCACCCCAAAATCAATAAAACTGGTGCTCCATAAGATGAGTAAAAGAGATCTTCCTTTCTCTCCTCCTCCTTCTCCTTCTGCTTCTCCTCCTTCTCTCTATATATATATATTAATATTTCCAGATCATGAACCCACACAAAAAAGGTTAGATTGCTACCAAGCAGCACAATATCCCACTTTGGGAAGAAGAGATTAGGACTCAAGTTGTTATTGGGCAGCTGTAACACTGCCTGGGAGAAAGGAAGCCAGGCCATAATGCTCTCTGCTCCAGAACATTTGAAAACAAATTGGTAGAAAAATGGGTTTTATTCAAACTAGTTTTGAAGGAGGATGAAAAAAAACAAACAAACAAACTTGTTTCAAAAGTTTCATCTCCAAAATCCCTGAAAATAAGCCTGATTTTTAAAGAAGAGGCAAGGAAGAAACACGGGCAGGAAATATACCTATAGAGACTTAGAGATCCTGCAGCTCGACAGGCCTGAGTAGGCATCTCTGCTCCCGTCTTCTGTGGAGACTCCCTGGGTGGGGTATCTGGCCTTTAGCTTCCTCCTTCAGCAGAAGAATATATTCCAATTCAGGGAGGGAGTGCCCCTCAAAGAGTCTGATTCAAAATTGGAAGGTGTTTTAGTCAGCTTTGAGTCACCGTGACCAAAAGAAGTGACAAGAACAACATAAAGGAGGAAAAGTTTATTTGTGTTTTCGGGTTTAAAAGTCTCAGAGTCTAGACAGCCAACTCCACTACTCAGGGCCTAAGGTGAAACAAAACCTCAGGGCCGAAGGGTGTGGAGGGGAAAATCATCTCAGGTCATGGTAATCAGAAAGCAGAGATAGATAGATAGATAGATAGATAGATAGATAGATAGATAGATAGATAGATAGATAGAGAACTGCCCTCTCCAGGGATAAAATATATACCCCCAATGCAGACACCCTCAGTGACCTTCCTGCTCTACCTACATCCTACTTGCCTACAGTTACCACCCAGTTAATTCCTCTCAGTGGATCAATCCACTTATTAGGTTACAACTCTCATAATTGTATCGTTTCACCTATGAATGTTCTTTTATTGCCTCACACAGGACCTTTTGGGGGACACCTCATATCTAAACCATAACAATAGGAAAACAGGCAGGTTTTATTCCAAGCCAACTTGGAAGGAAGATGGTTGAAATATAATTGTTTCAAAATTTCCATGTCAGAAAAGCCCTGGGACAGGACAGGTTTTAAAAGTGGGAGGGTGCATTAGAAAGAAAGACAGAAATTTCACAGGTTTTACCTTCTTAGGAGTCATTGTGGCCCAAAGAAATTTTGCAGGTTTTGCCTATTTCTGAGTCCCTGAAGCCTTTTCCTCATATCAAAAGGAGCCAGTCCATCCTGAGATGAGGATCTATGTGTCACCATTGTATACTAGGTTTGTCAGTGTGGGAGGCCACCCCTGAGCTATTGGCATAGCCTCTACTCAGTTATGAAGCTAAGGAAATTTTGGTCTGGCCTTGCAATCATTTTGTGGTTTTTTACACCCAGCACATGACCTCAGCCTTCACTCAGCTATAGAGGCTGCTTAATAGCTCTGGAGTCGGGCGTTACTCATTGGATTTGAACAGCCCACCCTCTACCTTATTTGGCAAAAGAAGATTCCATGGATATCCTTTGAAGCCCCCTTTGTATAAATAAAGGAAATGCAGGCTTGCTTGCTCTCTCTTTCCAGCGTGGAAGCTCGACCATAAGGTTGAAGGAGAGCCGTTCTTTCCCCCTGTTTTGGGTACTACTTTCTATATTGTGTGATTTTCCACCATCTTCTTGCATCTTATTGTACCCAGTTTGTCTCATCTGTGCGGGTCACAGTCGAGATGTCAGGATGCAGACAACTCTTCTCTTTGGTTCACAGGGTGAGCTTTCTTGAACTGCACGTGGAGAGCTGCACTGACCTCAGTTCATTCAAGGAGCCTCATCTGTACCTGGACCTGATTCAGATGATGAGACTCTGGAGTTGACACTGGTTAGAAGAGGAAATGAGACTTTTGGAAGTCTTGAATGGAAAGCAGTTTACTGTACACGTGGAAGGAATATGAATGATTTGTGGTCAGAAGGATGAATTTGGTGGTTTTCAACTGATCACAGGTTCCTTGATACTCAAGAAGAGAACCTAGTTCCCTCCTCATGAATGTGGCTGACTTCTTCAATTCACTCCAGTGATGAGACAAAGCAGAATTGATGGTGTGCAGCCACAGACAAAAAGACACTGGGGTTTCCTGCTTGCTCTGCTCTCTCTTGGATCATTCACTCCTGGCTAAGTCATCTTTCACTGGACAGTCACCTAAAGGGAGTCCTCCATGGCCAGGAACTGAGGGCTGTGGCCACGAGCTACAGGAATGAGCTGTGGATGAGGTCCTTCCTTCCCTGCCCATCAGCCTTCAAGTTCTGGTCTTGAACATTCCCCATAGGAAAGTGGCAAGATCATAAACCCTGGTAATTTCAAGCTGCTCCATTTGGGAGTGATTTTTACAAATCACTAAGTAAGAAATGTACAGGGAACAACTATGCAATTGAGGGATTTTTAGTTCAAAATCTCCAAGAGAAAGCTCTATTTGTATTTATTAAGTAAGTGTAAAAGGTCAAAGAGAGCCAAGTGTGGTGATGCTCACCTGTAAGTCCAGCCTAAGGAGGCTGAGGCAGGAGGATTGAAGCTCAAAGCCAGTCTCAGCAATTTAGCCAGGCCCTAAGCAACTTAGTGAGACACTGTTTCAGAATAGAATATAAAATGGATGGTGATGTGGTTCAGTGGTTAAGTGTCCTTGGGCTCAATCCCAGTACAAAAAAAAAAAAAAGAAGAAGAAGGGCTCAGAGAGAGAGAAAGAAATATAGTCTTTCACATTGAGCCAGACATTTGCCAGTTCTGATGCTCTTACTTTTTCTAGAAGTCTGAGTTTTCCACTGGTATTATTTGCTGTCAAACTAAAGAATTCCTTTACCGTTTCATATAGTACAGATTACTATTTGTTTGATTTGGATGTGAAGTGCCCCCAAAAGCTCACATATGAGACAGATATACTCTAATGGACTGACTGTGTTTTACTCAGAGACTTGAAGGCATTGCCTCCCTTTCTTCTTGTTCTATGGTTTTTGATAAGTCATCAGGCAGAAAAGGAGGTTCCAGAGAACAAGAAACAGGAAAAGTAATGGGTAGGCCCCAAACCTTTGATGTTAACAGCCACAATAAGCCTTATGAGTCACCCCTCCAATTAAAAGGTTGATAGGTTGAGGGGCAGAGATGTGCTATTGTCAAGATATGCATTTGGAGCATAAATACTGAAGTGAAAGTCAATTCATGGGAAAAGATACGCCATGCCAACAGTAAGCCTAAGCAGGCTGGGTGGCCACGGTGCTATCAGGAAAACACATTTCAAAATAAAATGTATTGTTAGAGATAAAGAAGAACCCTTCATGAGAATAAAAGAGTCAACAGGAAGACAGCACTCAGAAATATATGAGACAAAAACCACAGAATTACACGGAGAAATATACAACTCCAGAATTGCAACCAGAGAGTTTCATACACTTCTCAGCAAGTTCTTGAAGAACCTACTAAATAAAGAGTTCCAAACAACACAATGAGTATGTCAGTAATTCGCAAACTTTTTGGTATCACAATCCCTTAAAAATTGAGAATGCTAAAAGAACTCTGGTACAGAGTGGAAATACTATTTATCCAGAAAAAAAGATGAAATCCTGTCATTTTTGACAGCACATAGAACTGATGATCATTATGTTAAGTGAAACAAGTACTATGTGATCTCACTCATGTGTAACCTAAAAAATGTCAAATTTCATAGGACTCAAGAGTGGTTACTAGAGGCTACAGAGAATAAGGGGGTGGGGAGAGATTGGTAAATGTTGATCAATGGGAACTAAATTATAGAAAAGAAAAATATCATCTGGTGTTCTATTTCACAGTAGGGTGACTATAAATAATAATTGTACTATATGTTTGAAAAAAACTATCAGAAAGAATTTTAATGCTTTCACCACCAAGAAATAATAAATGTTTCAGGAAGCATATATGCTTACACTGATTTAAACATCACATAATGTCTACATGCATTGAAACCTCACTCCATAAAATATGTTAAATTTCTATGTTGATTAAAAATTTTTAGAAGAAGAAATGGACTTCCATTTATATGGGTTATGTCAAGCAACACTAATATTTGTTTTGTGTGTCTTTTTAAATAGCAGAAATAAATGCATTACATGTCACATAAATAACATATTTTGTGGAAAATAGCTATATTTTCCAGCACAGAACAACACTGAAATATAAGAAATTGTTTTACATTTTTAAACTCTCCTCTGTGAGACTTAGTAATGATAACTTGGCTACGTATTCTTCTCTGTTCAAACTGTAACAATCATTGTTTTGGTTGAAGTACATGAAGAAAATTTGGCTATGCTCTGAAATGTAGTTAGAAAGAGGAAAAATTTTAATAGCTTTTCAGATATTATGGATATTCTTCTACAACATTAAAACTCAGCAAGCAGCAAAATTTTACAGGTTAGTTACAAAATAGAATCTGAAAACTTATCAATGAACTTATCATATTCTGTTGGGTTAAAAATTAATTGGTCTATCTTATACTTTGAATGGATCATGTATCCTTCCACTTTGCCACATCATGCATTGATTATTTGGAAATTATTGGTTCATGGAGTTATGCAGATCTTTAAAATGTTAACACATTTCATTAAACAATGCTTTCAAAACCATGTATGCTCAAATCACCACCAATAACATCAGGGAAATATTTAGAAGAAGAAATGTGGCAAACAAGTTTTTTATATTTTTTTAATTTTCTCTTGAAAATATAATTTTTATTGTCAATGAAATTTTCCTCCAGATAATAGGCCTATTTGTTTGATTTTGAGTAAACTTATACAAAATGCCCAAATCTAAATAACCACACTGTTTCTCAATTATTCTTTCAAGGAAAAATTATGATCCATTAAATGGTAGGGGGGGCTAATTCCACTCACAACTCAAGCATGATACAACTGCCTTTCCATCTGTATGCAACAGGAAATCTCCCTATTTTGTCAAACTGACTTTAAAAATACATACTTGAGGTTTAAGATTTAGCAAAATGAATGATTTTTATTGCTTCATCAAGACCATTCTTAAGCAAAACTGGCATTTGTTGTTTGAAAGTGCATGGCAGTGAAGAATACAAGACTTACCTATAGAGCTTGGTATCAGTCCTTCAACTGAGCTAAGGCACCAACAGTATTACCCACTATAGATTTTGCACCCACAATGCAAATAATGCAGTGAAAATAACAAATAATATACAGTAAATAAACAAAGAAGGGATTACAAAACTAGAAAAATCACCATGTTGCAATCCCAAATATATTAACAGAACTAGGCAATTAGTATCAATGGTTGCTAACATCATAAAACTCTTCTTATGCAAGTAGAATTACATGTCTTTTGGTAAAAGATTACACAGCCACCAACAGGCTTTCCAAAATGATCAAACCAGAGTCTAATTCCACCTCTGCACCAGATGCTAATTGGTAAAAAATACAGAAGTCATAGGGGCATGTTAAACTGCACCATGTTTATACAGGCACAAAATCCAGAGTGTGGGAAACACTTCAGGTCAAATAACCGGAGCTTTTCCATGAATTAATCATAATGAAAAGAATGGGATGGAGGAGAAACCTGAGGTCTAGGCATAGAAGATAACTAAGTGTGGTGTGCAAGAATCACACTTGGGTGAATAGGCTATAAATAACTACAAGAAAGAGGGCATCATAAATGGGAAGAAAGGAACTTGATTGTCCTGAGGCACATGAAAACTTTTGTAGTGGCTGGAAAAGTGCTGTTTCTTGACCTGAATGGTGACTATAGGGGTTCTGCCTTAATCCATTAAATCATATATGTTGTGTGGTTATCTGTATTTCTGTTTTATTTTGCAATAACTGTTTTTTAAAAAAAATAGTAAATGGAAACAGCGACTGAGCATCTGTCTTCTGAAGACAGTGGAGACTGCAGTTGAAAGATAGATTTAGGAATTGTGGGGGTTAGGGCTGGGCTATAGAAAAGCATAGTTTGGGACTGGAAAGAGTTAGGTCTTCTGGAAATTTCTGAACCATGTGTTTGGAATGGGAACTAATAAAGCACACAATGAGAGGAAGGACAGAGTTGGGGGATGCATGATCTCACAGCACAAAACTCCAAAATCCATTCAGGATTCCAAGGATCATGGAACAAAATCATTCCCAGACCTCTCCAATGTCCTTTCCTAAGCCACAGCACTACTTCAGGTTTCAGGAGAGAAGCTTTGATTAGGACCTGAGTATGGCTTCTGTAGAATAGCTCTTGAGATCTGCGGAAACAGTGATGAAGGTCTCATGAAGCAACCCCACCCCCCATTCCAGGAACTCAGGAGACACACTACCAGCCGGGACCACCCTCTGCCTCCTTTACCCCGTTGACTCCCTCTAGCCAATGCACTGTCTGAAGATGCCACCCAGAGACAAGGAGTAAGAGATATTACCTTATCACCAGACTGAGTCTCCACAGATCCTGGAAAGAGACAGTGAAATGATCCATTTAGGACCAAATTTGATTATTCTGAGGAATGGGGAATGGCCTGCACTGTCAAAACTTGTGTCTGTTCACCCTAGGGTTGTTTCTGGCTTCAGGGATCCTAGTGACCCCTGTGAAGTACAGTCTTCCCTGCCTCAGATCTTGATGTAGGGAAAGTCAGAAACCAGGGAAGAAACAGGGCAGGTGGCAAGGTTTCAGAGGCTCATTACCTTTGCGAGCCCTGAGGTGGATGATGATCCCCACCAGAAGGATGGTTAGCCCAAGTAGGAAGGCTCCAACTCCACTGAGTATCTTTTTCCAAGAATATTCATGTTGAGCTCCTGCAGAAAACAAGTTTAAAGTTAGTGAGTAGCACCCAGTAGTTGATGCACCTTCTTAAAATTCCAAAGTCTGTACTGGACACCAATGCTATTTAGAGAAGAAAAATATTAGAAGTGGCACTCCGAGGTCAAAGTCTGCAACTACAGAGTTGCCTCCCATCTTTTATTGATTCTTATATTTCATGAAGGAGAGTAGTTCCCAGAGGGGGAAGCAAATAATGAGATGATTAAACCTCCTTATTTCTTGGAAGACATGAAGATCAATAGCTGCCCTATTTTCTCCCATCCTAAAGCAAAGACTCTGATTTTTGTGACCCTCCCAGATCAAGGGAAAGAATTGTGTTGTGACCAAGATGAATGGGGAAGTGACACCGAGCCTATAAATGTTTGATCCTGAGTCAGGCCCAGAGAGTACAAGAAACTACTCACTCCACTCCACAGAAACAGGGCTGGGCAGACTGGGGTGCTCAACAAGGCATCTGTAAACATCTCCAGGTGAAGGAGTCACTTCCAGCATCACCGTGGTCTGAAAGGTCCAGTCTCCGTTCCTAATAAGACCAGTGGACATAACGCCAGCTCTCTCCTCCTGTCCATTCCGGAACCACCTGATCTGTATGTCCCCTGGATAGAAGCCTGTCACGGAGCAGAGCAGCAGGTTGTGCTGATGCAGGAATGGGGTCTTCTCTGGGTACACTGTCACCTCTGGTTGCACTAGGAAGGGAGAGAAAAATGAGACCAGCCAAGCCAGAGCAGGAGCTTCTTTAGGGACTATCACTACCCCAATCTCTATCCCAGAGCACCCAAGTGAAAAATAGAAGTGTAGAGATATTGCATCCCTCAAAGACTAAGAAATAGGTTATTTCAATGCCCCCTGAAGAGTATTTAGATCTTATCAAGTCCTCTTACAATCACCCCTTCTATTGAGAGTATGCTAGTCCTGAAAGACCCTGAGAACCTAGGAGGTCTGGGACCAAGATCACAGTGACTTGAGCTGTGAGGATAATGAGTGACTCACATCTAGCTGGGGACAGAACATATTCACAAACTCTCTGACCTGTAACTCATTTATCCTGAAGCAGAAATTTACCTGTCATAAGGAAGAAGCACTGTGGCCAGGTTCTCATGGAGCAGACTCCTGAACCCCACTAGACCCACCTTTCTCCTCACCTTTTCTCCCCACAGTGAAGGGGGCCCCCAAATTGTAGTTGTGTCTACAGAGCATATCCACAGATGCTCTGCTCCTCTCCAGTATATCAGGCCGATTGTTCCACTGCTCAGCATCAGGCTGCCCCAGCTCTGTCAATGCCACAAACACTCCGAGATCACTGTCAAAACGTGCGTATTCCTCCAGGTTGAAGATGAATCTGACCACAAACTTCACCTTCTCTGTCCCATTGGTGAAATAACAGTCAGCCTTTGCCTGAATCACAAAATCTTCTAGGGGGGAAAAAAGGAGGGAGACCATGAAACAGCCTCCTCCTCTGGGAAGTCCCATTCCTGCCACATTATGTCAGACTACACAGATCTGAGAGGAGGCTTTTGACATCAGTATGCTCAAAAGTATAGTGTTTAGGGAGAAAAGAAACAATGTGATCCAATGCACAAAGACACATTTTAAAAACTTTAAATATATGCAGAAAAATAAGACTACATATTTTTAAAAGCCACCCTTGTGTTCAAGACATACCAGACACACTAAGAATGAATATCTCTGGAGAGGAGAGAGTAATAATGGAGACAAGGGAGGAGAACAGGGTCTTCCTATTGTCCAGTGACTACAAAGTGCTGTGGAGGACTCATTGAGATTTTTTAGTTCAATCCTATGAACTTAATAATAATAAAAGAAAATTCAAATGAGGTTAATCATGCAGGTAGGTCAGGTGAGACCTTCCTGAAGAAATGACACTTGAGACTTGAAGAAGAATTGCTGTTGATCTTGAGTTGTAAATTTACTTTTGTTTCTAAGTTCAGAGAGCCCTCCGGGAACTCCTCAGCTGAGCCATAAGGATGATTTTCCTGGGCCAACCAGGCTCATCTCTCACTCAGCAGCTGATTTCAGGTGAGGTTCCAACCTCCAATTTTTCCACATTTATATTTTTCTCTGTTACCCTTTATAGTCTGAATATGAAAAATCATCTGAATTTTTAATCATCATTTAAAATCTGTACCGATTATTTTTAATTGTATTGTTTAATGAACAGTATAAACTCAGAGCAGTTTCTATTCTCTGAGAACCATGATACTTTTCCCCAGAGTCAGTTCCTCTTTTGTCTTTAATGAAACTCTGACATTTAAAGGGGATTCTGTTCTTAGCACCGTACATCCTGTTTTCTGCTCATGAATATGTGCTTTCATGGTCTAACATCACTTCATGTTTGCATAGCCTGTCTTCTTAGCAAGAAAAATAACAGTGGCAAATTATCTGTACCCAGTAACCTGAGAACAAGGATAACTAATGTATTCAACTTCTCAAAACTGCTTACTACAACTGAGACCATATAATAAGATCTAAAAAAGTGACTGAAGAAATTGTTTCCAGTACCATTGGTCTATAAACACCCCTACTAGATAAAGACAGAAATCATTATAATTGTCAGAATAATAAACTCCTGGTTTAAGAATGGCAGCTATTCTCAGACTGTCTCCAGCTTTTACAGTTGCTGTGTCTGATATTGATATCATAAGAAATCTAACAAGACAAAATGTTTCCCTTCTTCCTACCCTCAAATCTTTGTCTAGGAACTGGAAGTCCTTCTCCCAGGGTACATTGTGCATGATAAAGAAGAAAAGAGCACTTTTCTGTCAATGGGAAGAACTCCGCTCTTGGATGCCAGAAGCCACTTCCACTCCATCCAGTGACCTGGACCTATAAGGAAAGACATCCCTCCCCCATGCCAATCCTAGCACACACACCCAGAAAGACTTTCTCTGCACTTACCTGGAGAGTCTCTGTCTTGAGTCATGGAGAAATTGAGCCTGATCAGATTCACTAGCAGAGCTGTCACCCAGGGGGCCCATGCAGAGCTCATTCTGAAGGGCAGTAAATGAGACAGTAAAATTATCAACCTCTCTAGAATAGAACTTGCCTCAAAACTCAGTGGGGGAAAAAATCATTGAGTATAGATAACTTTTTGGCCTCCATGGGATTGGAAACTTCCTCAGACTGTTAACCAATCAAGATAGAAGAGTTTTGCATCATTAGGCACTGGGCAGAATACGTTCATAAAGTTGTGCTATACTGTTCAAAAATTGGTCACCTGTAGAATCACTGAGAGTAGTTTAGGTAAGTGAGAAATGGGCTAAGATAAGAAGAAATACATAGTCTCCATAGCATGGAGTACAAGGCATAAAGAACAAGGCAGATTGCTTCTTATATTGCTTCTTATACTTACTTAGCACTGTCCCTTGACTGTTCTGAAAACTTCCTATGGAATAGTTGACATTGACAACAGAGACTGTGTAAATAAAGAAAAAGTGGATAGCATTCTGAGGTATATGTCCTAAGAGGAGTTAGCGAAGGGGTTATCAGAGAAGAAATAGAATAGATAACAGCCTGGAGAGTATGATTACCTGTAAGCCAAGAAAAAGCCACAAAAAGAAAGAAAGGAATATGGAGAGAGGATTCTCAAAAGAATAAAATACTGCAAAATTGTTTCTTAAGGATAGAATACAAGAAAGCAATGGGGAGTTCCAGTCAGCAGGATGGCAGAATAAGACTCTCTAGTACATCGTGGCTGACAAAAACATCAATTAGAACAACCTCCCATGGAAGAAAATACTTTCAAAAAAGCTAAGGAAACCAGGTAAAAAATATATATATAGCAACTGGATGTAGCACAGAATTAAGAAAAGATGCATTGAATCAGTTTTATATTACAGCTCATCATGAAAAGAGATACCTACATGGAGGAAGGAGAGTGGGGTAAGCATCCAGTACTAGGTTTGCCCCCAGCGCTGGGCATGCTCCCAAGACCCAGACTCCTGGTCAGCCTGGTGAACTCAGTCTCTGTTGCTGCCTTTCTCTGGACCACCTCCAGCACTGGGATAGCTCTAAAGATCAAGGAATTTAGGCCTGACCCTACAGGTAAAGGATTCATGATTATCTAATGCCAAGCCAACCCCTGTGTCCCCAAACTCCAGGCCAGTACCTGTGGACTAAGCCAACAAGATTGACCCTTATGCCAGACAGGCTAATGTAGTCACAAGATTCTAGGCCAGCCTGGTGGATTCAGGCTCTGGAGGCCCCAGCATGAGGCTGGACTCTGTGGCCCCAATATTCAAGGTCCCAGCACCAGGCCAATCCCTGCAGGATCAGTCATCGGGCCAGTAAACATAGGCCCAGCCTCCAGTCCAGACCCTGTGGATACAGTTTCCGGATCCACCCAGTGCCAAGTCAGCCCTTCAGGTTCACCCCAGCATCAGGTTGGCATTCCTGGCCTCAAGCAACAGGTAGGCACCCATAAAAAATGGCTCCAGGCCTATCCAATGCCAAGCTTTCCCCATGGCCCACCCATTCAACCCTTCCCTGTAGATCTAAGAACCACATCATGTTTCAGCACAGGATTCTGTGTATCTAAGCCCAAGCTGGTTCCCAAGGCCCCAAAACCTATGTCAGCCCTCACTGAGCTAGACCTGTGCGCTTCGCCTCCAGGGCAGCACCAGCAAATACAGGAGCCGAGTCCGTCCCCAGGGCCCCAAGTTCCATGCCAGAACCTGCAATCCTAGGCTCCAGGCTCCATGCTTGCCATAGTACCAAGCCAGCCCTGGGGGTCCACACCAGTCTGTCGGAAGCTGCCCTGGATGCAGACAACTTTAAGTCTTGATGCACAATTATTGCATTCAGTCTGGCACAGTAGAGCCAGGTCGCAATAACTTGGGTATTACCCCAGCTCAGATAACAAGGCGTGGCTCCAGGAGTAGGCGTCATTCACTGGGGTTGAGTTACGCTCACCTGTTCCTTGGTAATCCTACCCCTTTGCCATTTGGGGGATAGAATGTTCCATGGAAACTCCCCTTGTGTGTCCCCTATATAAGAATAAAGAATTCTAGTGGCTCTCTCTCTTTCCACAGACCCTTAAGGTTGGAGAACTGTCACTTAAGTTATTGGAATAGTCAGATTTTGTGAATCCAGCATTAGGTTGCCAGCTAGGACAGATGGCGATATCAGTCCCTGTGGTGGTACAAGGTTTCAGAGGACCTAAGGTCCAGACTTGGTTTAGCAAATCCCAATAGACCTTGGTGACAGGCCATACTCCATAGACTAAGGATCCAAGACCACCCTTGAAGATCTAAACTCTAGGTTAGTCCATGGACCTAGGACCTCAGACTTAGGCTCCAAACCCAGTCCAATGCCAGATGGCTCATGTAGACTCAGGCTTCAGGCAGGCTCCATTGAACTCAGGTTCCAACCTCATCCTGGGGTACTTAGGTTCCAGGGTCATTCTTGCAGACTCAATCAATCAGCTTGTCCACACTACTGGGTCCATTCTTTCACCCAACCAAATGGACCCTGGTGCCAGGCTCTCCCACCTGCTGACCAGTTGCAGACCAGCCTGCCCAAAGGCTTATTCAAATAAAAAGGCATCAGTGTAAGGCAACCAAAAAAAAAAAATGAGAAAGTGAAGAAACACATACCATCAAATACCATTGTTGAATCCCCCAAATGGAGCTATATGAACTAAGAATAAGAATTCTTTTAAAAGAGTTCAAACTTCCAGAAAATAAATGAAAAATAATTCAATGGAATTGGGAAAACAAATAACTAAAATGAGAAATTTGATGAAGAAGTTGAAATTATTTTCAAAAGTCAAATCCTGGAGCTGAAAATACAATAAATGAAATGAGAAGCACAATCCAGCAAATTAATCAAGCAGAAGAAAGAATCTGTGAATTTGAAAACAGTTTATTTGAAAAAATATAAAGGAGGAAAAAAATGATGAAAATTAATTATGAAATGTTGTGGGATTTATGGAACAACATCAAAAAAACAAATACATAAGCATAGAATTTTAACAAGAAGAAAAGATAAAAGAGTAGGAAGTTTATTTAAATAGATTATAGAATAAAAATTTCCAAACCTTAGGAAATATAAAAATATCAAAGTATAGAAAGTTCAAAGGTCTCCAGAGTCTATTTAAACAAGATACACCAAGGAGTATTATAATCAAATTGTCAAAATTCAAAGACAAAGAGGATCCTGAAAGCATCCAGAGAAAAGAAGCAAATAGCATGTATAAGGGAATTTATATACTCATGGTAGATTTATCAGCAGAAACCGTACAGGCCAGGAGAAAATGAGATATTATATTTGAATGCTAAAGGAAAAAAAAAACTGCCAACTAAGAAAACTTTACCCTGCAAAACTGTCCTTCAGAAAGAAAGGAGAGGGCAAGGGTTGTGACTTAGTGGTAGAGTGCTTGCCTAGCATGTGTGAGGCACTGATTCTCAGCACCATATATAAATAAATAAATGAGAAAAAGGTCCATCAATAACTAAAAATATACTTTAAAAAAAAAAAAGAAATTAAAGAGAGATGAAGACTTGCCCAGAAAAACAAAAGTTGAGAGAGTTCATCCCCACTGGAGCCAATTTGCAAGTTAATGCTAAAGGAAGTTCTTCAAGCTGAAAGAAAAGATAATTAGTAACACAAAAACATAGGAAAGTTTTAAAATCATTCGCAAAAAAGATGTCAATAATGACATCAAGAATTTTTAAATGTGGGAAAGAAAGAGTAAAAATGTAGAGTGTTGGGGGTTTGTAGGTATTTTTAGCAACCAAAGCTAAGTTGCTTAAAATAGCCTGTTATAACTATGTGATGTTTCTTGTCAGACTGGTGGTAACCACGAAACAAAAATCTATCTTAGGTGCACAAAAGGTAAAAAGTAAGGAATCGGCTGGATGTGGGCATGCACACCTGCAATACCAGCTACTCCAGAGACTGAGGCAGGAGGATGGCAAGTTTGTGGCCCGTGCAGACAACTTAGCAAGACCGGTCTCAAAACAAGATAAAGAAGGGCTGGTGTTGTAGCTCAATGTTAGAGCTCTTGCCTAACATGTGCAAGATCTTAGATTCAATCTCTGGTACTAAAAAAAAAAAAAAAATTAGGTTGTTTTTTTTTTTTTTAACTGAGGAATCAATACACATCACAAGGAAAAATCACTTGATTGCAAAGGAATGCATCAACAGACAAAGAAAAAAACCAAGGATCTACAAGACAACCAGAAGACAATTTTTTTAAATTGCAGTATAAGTCCTTACATTCATGCACTGACAAATGCTCCCTTTTCTCTGGACCTCCACTGTAGAAGGGTCAAGTGTTGGACCCTCTCTGCTGGGGCACAATTGAAAGCAACACTAAAACCAGAACTTAATCTTGGCATTCAATAAACCATATATATTTAAAATGTAAAAAAGAAAATCTTAAATTAACCATAGTGTTTGGTGAAAGATATTTTTTAACAAAAGTATTGTTACATTTTGATGTGTTTCCTAACATTAGGGATGGGGCAAAGGATCAGGGAAATCTATCACTGAGCTATGTATATACATAGCTCAGTGGTTACAGCTTAAAAATTAGTGGTTAATTTTCCTGATCATGTCAAAACGTCAACATATTCTGCATAGGTGCATTTGTGGAAATATTTTTCTCCTTTCCCAGTATTCTTCAGAAGTCCTATTATAGTTAACAAATAAATGTTGAAGAAATGTAAAAAAAAAAAATGCAAATATAGATAAGATTAAATTATCCAAATGATATAGAAGACTAAGTGTATTTTTTAAGTGAAATCAAACCATATGCTTCCTACAGGAGACTCAAGCCTTAAGAACATACATAGGCTACAAGTAAAGAGGTGCAAAAAGATATTGCATGCAAATGGCACCCAAAGAGAGCAGGAGTGACTGTACTTATATCTGATAATGTCGCATTCCACGACTAAACACTCAGGGTCACTCCAGGTGAACTGGGCTGCACGAAATAATCACACAGAGACAGACCTTTTTCTTTGGGTCCTGTGATGGTTTCTCTGACTTTATTGGCTGGAGGGGTAGAGATAGAAAGAGAGGGAGAGGAGCACCAGCACAGCCTTGCATTGAAGTGGTGAAATCAAACATAAATCAGTCTAACCAACTGAGTCATCACTGAGGGCAGCTGCTAGAGCACCACCCAAACCTACAACAGTTTCTTCCGGAGTGAGGAAACCACCTTTACTTAAATGGCAGTTGTTTGTTACTGTAGGGATGAAGAAATTGCTTTCTCTACCTATCTGAAGTTCTCTAGAGGCAGCCCTGTGAATTGGACTAACAAAAGACAGATTCAAGAGAAAAGAGCACAAGTTTATTTAATATGTCTTATGTGACATTAAGCCTGAGTGTATTTATAGTAGGTTTGATGAAGAATAGAAAGTCATGGGAATTGTGATGGAACAAAAGTATGAACTTAGCAAACTGGGAAAAGCTAAGCTAGTCTTGCTTGTTTGGGTTCCTCTCACCCCCCCTCCATCTTACCTGAGGGTCTAGAACCTGACTCAGAGGAGATGGGCAAGATCAAAAAGCCCTTCTTGTACCCACCATTTCTCAGATTCCTTCAGCTTAAAATATCAAATGTACAAAGGAGTCATAGTACATGGGATGTGACATGGTGTTATCAGAAGCAATAAAAAGCACGAGGGGAGAAGAGGCATAAGCCTGAACCTGCCCCTTCTTGCTTACAATGGCAAAAGAATTCCAATAACCTGATCACCCATCAACAGGGTGAGACAGGCTAAATGAAACATGAAACTTTCATAAAATTGAATACACATGACCATAAAATTTTAATTTACAATAGTATATTTAGAGAACTATTGTGAAAATATGAAGAAATATTGATTTCACCACTGCTTACATATACATTAAATTTCTCTAAAATGATAACATAACTCTTAGAGCTGGATTGCCTAAAAACTGTGGGGAATGATGGGGATGAAGCAGTCCTCTGTATATTTTTATGTCTTTTCAATTTGAAATCCCATTAATATATTGCCTATTAAATAAACAAATAAGTTGTGTCTTTCAAAA